ACGCAGTACGATCGCGCCAGCGGTTGCGAAACGAGATGATGGGGATAAACCTTATCTGTCAGTACCATTTTGTTGGACAGAAAAAGAGGTCAAAGTCATTGTATTATCATCAATCATTGCGGTTAATTGCTGTTGCTTGCTGAATGACCTATCTGTCGCATGTTTTCTGTAATGGGCATTCATTATACATAAGTTGTAAACAAGTATGATCCTGGAAATAAGGCATCCTTGATGGTTTTTATGAATTATCTTGAAATTTATTATGTAACTTAGCATGTAAATTTAGTAGTTTCTACAAGCTTCAATTGTGCATGGAAGCAATATTACTTTTTCAAATTTTAATGTGTTAAAATATTTTTAAAAGAAACAGATTTATATAACTTTGAAAATTAGCGTCTTTATGGCTGTTGTGAGGTAAAAAAAGGTATAATTAAAATATAACTGGCAAAGTTATAGAAATGTAAATTTTGTTGTATTTTAAAGGTACCAAATGAAAGATACAAGAAAAAAATTATATAGATTTTTTAATTATGTTGCTTTAATTATACTATTGCTAATAATTATGTTGTTTTAAATAATTTGTGGTAAATTAATGTAATATAAATATTGAGGACGCATAAAATAAATGTTTAAGCATACTAATCTCGCAGCTGAATCTTCTTTCTTGCGTATACGAATAAATTATTTTTTGTTCGCTTGACGTCTTATATAACTCATTCGTTTCTGATATTTACACAATAATATCAATGTCAAATAGTGGTATTAATTTCTGTATTTATATGCATGACGATTGCACGTTCTAATAAAATTTTGCCGAATATACGAAAGCTTTTTAATCATCAGTGGCTGTTGCAGCTAAACCGCAGCATTTATTCGTATTATTTATCTAAAATAAGTCGATATACAATGGTAATTTATGTAACTTATTCGTGCGTAAATGTGCGAATTTGCATGCTTCGTGAATCTAAAAGTTAACTCACATACTTACATACTCGCATACTTCCCGACTTACAGTTGGCCTTTTGCGACGCAGTCACGGCAATTTAATATGTAACTTAATAACGCGCTGACAATCGCCAATCGTTTTGTTGCATCACGCTTTTCAAAGGCTAAACTCTCGTGTTCTTTTTATTCGCGGGCAGAGCATTAGGGATCGTTAACTTCAATGGTGGCGAAGCATTAGACGTCATTAATTCTCTTTTTCTCTCTCTCTCTCTCTCTCTTTCTTTTCATGCGTTTATATAATTTAAAACGATCGTAAACGAAGCGGGTAATTACGGCGGATAGCGGCGGGATAACTACGGCGCAGGGCAATGGAAATTCGGGCTTTCGAGACGCGACTCTACGATCGCTGTGTGATCGATAATAGAGTACCTCGCGTTTTTTTTCCTCTGTAGCGAGGAAAAAAAAGAAATTTAATTTCTTCAAATCTCCCAAATTGACAGGGGTCGCGGCGCCGATTAAACCACAATGATTTTTCGCGTCGTGCGTCAGGCCAAGAGCCAGGACCGAAGCACACCACGAGATATCTCCCGCGGACCTCGGGACTGCCACCGCGCGACCGAGTGCCGCGCTCTGTGTGGCGTAGAATCTAATAAAGAATCTCTCTCTCTTCTGCATTTAAGAATGGCTGAACAAAACAACGGTGTACAACAAGCACATTATCGTGCGCGCCTTAGACCTCCGGCCGAAAAACGTTCCGCTCATTACCGTGTCGAATCATCACAGTTGCTTCGACGATCCGGGCATATGGGGTAAGAGCCTTTTTCTTTCCTTACCCGTCGTTTGTTAAATGCCTTTCGGCATTTGCGCATAATAACGTATCATCAGTCCCCCTCCCCGTCCCTCCCAGGCCCCCTCTCTCGCGCGCGCAGCCCTTGCCACGAGACTCCGCGCTCTGCGCGCGCGGCGCTGATTTATCGTCTCGAGAAATTGAGAAAAATAAAATGCCGCGTGCGCGGAGCGCGAACTTATGTACGAATCGTCCGGGATGTAAAGTGCCGGCGGTCCGTCCATTCGCCTAATAAAACAGCATGCTCCGAGGCACCCTTTACTACGATCCCGGGGCGCAGTTAGCCACGCGGCGGACGCAATGAAACGTAAGGACAAAACGCAATGTCACGTCCGGACGATGTCGGACTGGATGCGCACTCGACCGCTACCAAGAGACAGATTAAATTCGAATCGCGAAAGATAGCGTTTTTTAAATTGCCAAATCGTGATATCTGGAGTGTCGGAGCGTGACGTAGATTCGTTTGCGATCTTCTTCGAAGGTATTCGAGTCACCGTGATTGTTGATCTCGGAATTACGGAGTTGAACGAACGATAACATGATTAAATTACAGGTGCTAATCAAGCATGAATGAAGAACAATGAGACCAAATTATCGGTTAAATACAATGAGCGCGATATGTTTGCGTCATTCGTTTATCGATACCACGTTTTTGTGTTTGTTTTTTTTTCTTCTTATCTTTGTTGATTCCATTGTGATTCCAACGTGTTTAACTGCGTGGATGAAAAACAGTTTCTTCATATCTTTTTTTTTGTTTTTGTTTTTTGTTGAAGGCGAATAATAGTTCTCTGTACTCTCGTACATTTCCTATATTCTTGTCCCTCTTTTGAGACGTGTTTTTCTTTCTCAGAACGACGCCGATATGCGATCGAATGAAAGAATTTAAGACAGAAAAATCTCTGAACTCATTTAGCGACCCTGGACGTCCGGCATGGGTTTAATCGACGTAAGATACGATGGTCACTCGCCGCGCACGACATTTGTTTCACAAATGTCTGGCATTCCTACTTTTTCATGCTCGGCAAGTGCATACCGATCGTCCGAGGCGACGGCGTGTATCAGGAAGCCATGAACTTCTGCATCGAAAGGCTGGCCCTTGGCGAGTGGGTGCACGTCTTCCCCGAGGGAAAAGTCAATATGCTTAAGGAAGAAATGAGGTTCGTACTGGAATTACTTTCGGAATAATCCTTCATTTCGAAACTTAATAACGCAATACGTCACTTGAAATTTACTTCGTATATATTTTAATAGAACTCAAAAGAAACATTAATAATATGCTATTTATATTATCGGAATATTGAACCGAAGATAAAATATCGATTCGAATGCAAATTGAATAAGTTTTTTATTTTTATTTTTATTTGTGACAGTGATGAACTGTTAAATATTAATTTATATTCTTGATAGATATTTTGGGGAATCTCAGAAATCACGCATCATCAATTCATGTAAAACTTTGTATGAAAAATTAGATTAATATGAGAGACGAAGACATATTACGATAATACAGTCAGCGAAGATACAATTGATAATATTGTTTAGGTTGAAATGGGGCGTGGGTAGATTAATATTAGATTCACCAGTAACACCTATCGTAATTCCTATCTGTCACCTCGGCATGGATGAAGTACTTCCCAATGAGCCGCCGTATATGTTCAAAGTGGGAAAGAGAGTTACCATGAATTATGGTGAGCCCATAGACTTTAGCGGATTACTGGCCGAGTTACGGGAATCGAAAGCGAGTGACATGGAAGCGCGAAAAGCGATAACCAATCACATTCAGGAGGAGCTTTTAAGGTAGCGATTTAATTAAGTATCATATTGGGAATTACCGAATAATGCTTGAAAAAGTCACATAAAAAGAAAAGAAAGAAAAAAAAAGATATTTAAATATTTTCAGATTGAAAGCAGCAACGGAAAAACTTCATGCTAAATTATGACGAAGATGATCCCTTTTCCGTCGTCCCTCCGTCTAGCCTTAATTTGCCAAAAATATTAAGTAAAATTATTGATACGTGAACAAAGTGAGATTCGTATGTACAATCCATACGAAATCAATTTCCTTTTTAATGTGTATATTCGTACTGTAATGTATTTTTGACAATATTGAGTAATGTAAGCATCAATTGTGTGTAGAAAGTCATACTGTGAGCTACGACGTTTCCATATTTTTTTTTTTTTTTTTTTTTAAATATTCCTCTTCGAAAGACCACTTGATACGCCTATAAAATGTATATAAAATGTATCTGAAAAATTATGCACTTGCTTTCAGTGTGTTACACATCTTTTGATAAGTATGAAATGGAGATTGATATATAATAATTCAGAGATTTTTGTCTTTTAATTAATATTTAATATAGATTATTAATAAATAAACTTGATACTTGATACTGTTGATTCTAATGCACAAATTTTAATCTCTTTAATTTTCTGATTATAAGCAGTAATTAAAGAGATCTTTATTAATAAGAAAATTCTACTGTTGGGGATTTGTAGCGAAGAAAGAGTGCGCAATCTTTCGATACATTTTGTTAATGTATTCCTTTTCGAAGAGTTACATATTTTTCAAATAACATCTTATACCATGTATAATAATTTATAAATATACATTATGTCCCACTTCTCGCGCGCAGTGATATAAGATGATATAAAAGTGATATTTCTTATATATGTATATTACATATGTACATAGTAACAAACGATCATAACACTACTATTATGATTTTACGATGATTGTCAATAAAAATTTTGATAGTATAAGCGAGTATTACGTAATGCACAATCGAGGTTTAATAATGTAACTATAAAAGAATTGTGCCAGTATCATCCATTATTCTATTTTCCAAGATGAAAGGTGTCACTATTAGCGGGAATATAGCGTATACCTAGCCATTATCGATTATATGCTTCGTGCTCGCGTTACAAGCGTTTTGTGCCAATTAATCGATCTGTACTTGTTTTGTTAGGAAACGCGTAACAGGCATTCGTCTTTGCGATTAAGATAACAATAATAATAAACGACCTTTATAACTAATAAACGATCTTTATAACTAATGCACGTCTCGCGCAAGATTCGCTTACCACTCACGAGTGGTTGTGAATTTGCATAAAAACTCGTTTGGAAAGTAGGGATGTAGACGTGGCATGAAGAGGAAATAATTTTTATCACTTCGTTCGATAGCTAGGGAAGAAAAGAGAAACCAGTGTATTCGTTCGCCGATGATGCATGATTGTTTTTTGGATATTTATTGCGATATATTTAAGTCGTTACAACAGCTGTTATCATGACAATCGCATATCTATGTACGCTCCCGTGCGTGTGCGTATATACACAATGTTGAATACATATACTTTTATACTATACACACGGACTGCTATCAAAATTTTTGGGACTATTCGAACGTGATAAATTTGTATGTATCATATATTTGTTGAATATATTATTAAGTATTAAAATATCGTATTTCTCTATCGTCTGAAATAAAACTGTCTTGTTTGTTTTATCATTTGACTCGACATTTCTCTTATCAGTAAACGTAAAATTTGATCCCTCCCTTAATAAAAGGTTTCTATACGATTTCTGCGTGTTATATACACTACCTGTTTACAAATGTGTAAGGCAATGATTCTGCAAAGAGAACTCTAAAATGACGCGTAAAAATCATGCCAATAGAACTCTTTAAGAGTTCGTTAGTCATCGAGTTTTATCACTATGTGCACATAATCTATTACTATAAAAGAACAATATTTTTGTTACCGATAAACATTAACTCTTATATCTTTCGTCTGTCATACTTCGGGCCTCAACATTTATTTTCCAAAAAATATATAATGAAATATAACAATATTAAATTCTGGCAATGCTTTCTGCAAGTTTCCGCGTTAAACATAAAGTTTCATAAAATTACACAAGAGCTTATTTTTTTATATTCTTGAGTATAGAACAACCTTTCGGAAGCTGATATCGATATATATATATCTATAATAGATCCTAAAGAGAGCTAAATCCTATATATATTTTCATCTTATGCTTTTTGTATCCTCATCTGTGTCAGAATTCCAATCCGAATCATAATTACAGTTGCCATATCTAAGACAGTCATAGTATATTAAAAAGTATGGTTATATATTACAATTTTCATTATATCCACAAATAAATTGATACGTACACATGCTTGACTGTTCTCGACAGATAGAAATAGATTATGCTATGGCCTACACAATTGTTGATATCATATTATTTATCAATACGAAGACCGCATATCCCTTGGCACGTTTTTTAATTTGTAAAACTAGACCGTTCCGGTCTTACGAGCGATACAAAAGCGGCGTACGATCCTCGTATTGCACCGTACGAACACGAACGAGAACTATGTATTTATATATATTTATATATCATAAACTTTGAATAGACAGAACAGTAGATGAGTATAACGAGTATTACGAGAGAAGATTTATTTAATATACGTATATACTATCACCGCATTATATCACTGCTTTCTTTATTTTCTTTTTATATTCAAATAAATTGATATATGTATTATATATTTTACAGAAAAACAAGCCGTGATTAACAATAATATAAAATCGATCGCGAAACTTGGCCCGCGTTAAACAAGATATGTTAAAAAATTCTATAATGTTATCAACTGTATAAGACGGGGATATGTTGGACTAGAAAATGCAATTTCTCGAATATTCTTGATTCATAGTCGAATAGTCATAAAATAGTCAATCCAAATAAATCTAAAAATGTTTTAAATTGCTCCCAGCATAATTACTGTACGCGTGTTCCATAAATTAGATAATATACAATTATATTCCTATTATTACACTATACAATACTTTTTTTTTAATTACGTAATCTCTAATGTATACATATACGGGAAGAATACGATATGAAATGACTCGTAAAGATGGCGAATTTTTCAAAGCAATTAATATTTTGATTGGTTATTCTGTACGTTTAGGCTCGTTCCTGGACGGCAAGTCTAATGCGAAGCAAGCGTTGCATTATATTTCGTAAAAACGCAAAATAGGCCAAACGGGATTAATACCGCCCATGTATATATATCACAAGTTTAATATATTTTATTCTTAATGTTTTATATGCTAAAATCTTGTTCACGTAGCGAGCGTTAATAAAATACCAAAATTTGAAAAATTCATAAAATGCAAGTATCGCGATCGAAATAAAATGATATTAATTACTATTAAGAGTTCACAAGAAGCACAACTATCATCCAGGCAACTTTGAAATTTCAATAGTAACCTACAGGTACATCATCTGTCCAAGCAAGGGAAGTTTTTTGTTCGACATTGCACAGCAGTCACGCTAGATCTCAGATAAATCTACGTTTTAGTCTTTCTTCTATTTACCTAATATCTTTAACGATGTCCGTTTGTGATCCTTCGCAGTCTAGTTTTGTCAAAATTGCAAATACTTCCGAGTAAAGCGGCACGGTCGTTCGATGATTTTGGTACACTGTTTGACGCACTACCAGATGCTTCACACGGCGGTGGCAAGGAAGGCGGTGGCGGTGGAATATTTTTACCAGGATCTCCTTGCGGAATGTCCACAGAACCTTTGGTAAAAAGTTAGAAAAATGATTAGAACTGAAAAAATGATAATGATAGGCTTCGTAGCACGATAGATAACTTTCACTTTAAAGAATCGAATAAGAAAATTGTCTAATCCGTCTCTGTAAAGAAATGGAAGATACTTAGCTAATTATAACTGACAATCATGTATCGTACAATATCAAAAGTTCTAAAAGTACGTACAAGATAAGCTAAGGATATAATTACAAAAAGACCATTACAAAAATGCATTTCAGACGGAATCCGCCAAGCAATGATGAGGGAAAATACTACAAAAAGAAAAATAAGAATAATTATGAAAATTTAAGAAGACCTGAATGCTCGAATGACCTACGTGAAAGGAATGACCTCAGTACGCGCCATCAACTTTTGTGTCCAGCTAATCAAGAGATGTAGAAACGTAAATGTCAATTAGCATTGACGACAATAACAATGAGGAGCATTAGGATGACTTACGAAGCGATGGAGGAGTCAATGTTCCAACGCTGGTAGCCGTGGAAGTACTTGTTGGACTGTCTGAACGCTCTGGGCTCTTACCATTTATTTGCTTCGTCCCGTTCGTACCCAATTGCGAGGAAGAACGTTGCTCTTGTGCCAATTTTTGTTCTTTTTTCTGCAGAGTAAATGAAAAATGATATTTTTTTATTTACAATTTAATTCTAGATTTCTTTTTTATTTATGTACTCACTAGTTTATGCTTTCGTTTCTTCATCTCTTCTTCCGAACTCATCATTTCTTGAACCTTGACAAGCCTCTTCTGGTGTCGGGCGACTTTCTGTTCATCGCGTAATCGTTGTTCGGCTTTGTTTACAGCTTCTTGTAAAGCCTCCTTCAAATGATTGCTCAGTTTAAAGTATGGTTTCTCTACGGTGCCAATTGCCAACGCAGCGCGTCTTGCTGATTCAAAGAATGGATGTTCCAACAGTCGGATCACTGTCGGCAAATCTTGTTTCAGAGCTTCCGGCGATAAGATAACTTCCAGCAAGTTTTTTAGATTTGCCTCGCAATGTGATAGATCTGAACATGTCGCTTCCAAAAGCGGTCGTCCAAATGCCATTTCATATAACACGTGTCCGAATGAGTATACATCAACCTGAGTCTAAAAAAAAGCGTATCAAATTTTATAAATATAAAAAAATACTTGAAAAAATATTTTTAATAAATTAATATATTCTTCATAATTATTATTATTTTATATATATATATACACATCATAATTTCTATATTACCGTGGCATGTAATTTGCGCCTTTGTACCACGTAAGGTCGATAAAACGCCGGTAATCCTAGAAGCCCGTTTTCTATATCCAATAATTTAGCACATCTCGGAGTTAAAAGAACATTACCCGTATGTAAATGTCCATAAGGTAATCCCTTCTCATGGAGGAATCCTAGAGCCTCCAATATCTACAAATTGTATTATTATCATGAGATAATGTCGAGATATTTCGCTGTAATTTATCTTCATATTAATTATTACCTGATAACCATATGTGGCAATTTCCTGTACTGTTAATGACTTTATTTGTTTTGGATTTCCATATTTTTTTATAAACGGCTGTTTAGGCTTGGTAATACATAGAACATCACGTAACGTACCCGCCGGATAGAAATTTCTTATCGTTAGTGCCCCATTATCTGTAACATGCTGGTGTACTATCGGTTCGATGTAAGTGTGCCGTAGAGAGCCTAAGGTTTTGAAAACTCCTTGTATATCTTTATCTTGCAAATGCTTGTCCGGGCCGAATTCGACCCAAGCTAGCAAAAGTTCTTGTTTCGGATTCTGACGATTTTTCACTACATAATAATGTTTCCTCAATCGCCATCCCATGTCAGGGATGGGTTTGCACACTTCGAAATTAGCATCGCTCCGTAATGCTAGTGACACTTGTTGTAGTGCGATTTCTAAAAAAAAAAATAAACACATTTTCACATTTCGCGTATTTGCCTGCATATCAGATATAAATTGTATGTCTCTCTCTTTATATAATATTCAACATCCCTTCGTGTAATATAAAGATACTGATCTCTTAATTGAATTGAAATCAAGTATATCTTTAAATTACATTGAAAATTGAATCTTTATAATACACTGCTTTAGCTTACCATGTAATGGTGCAGTGTAATTCTCAGGGTCTAAAAACTTTTTCATGGGAAGTGAAGATGCCAGTATAGGATTCATTAGTACTATGTTTAGATAATTCTGCAAAAAAAGGTGGATTATCTTCCAGTTATCGTATCATACGAACGTGGCACATAAAAGCGAATGTTGTGTCGAGATGAACCTGCAGTGCTATTTGTCGTTGAGCTATAAAGTCTGGCTCCATGTTACCAATAATCCTTTTTGGCGGTAGTGACAGATCGAAGCCAGATATGGACAAAGCTGCATTGAGCTGTACGAAGTCATTGTAACGTCTGCTTACTCTCCAGGATTTTTCAGGAAGCGGACCTCTCTGTGTTTTGATTATGTATTCCTGAATGTAAAAACCATCAAAATCTCAGCATGCGTCTCTAACAAGCAAATTACTGCTGTGCGCGAAAATAAAGTTTAAAAACGCAACGTTGCAACTGATTGTGCATTCTCCGAACGATGTATACATTTCTGTGTGTGTATATATATATATATGTGTGTATACATGTATACAAAGTTAGCGATGTCACAATGGCGAAATAAACACTAGTCTCAAGGCAGATTCCTATAACGTTTTAATTAAA